GCGAGGGAGGAGGGCAGGCGGGAAGGGGGCCGGGCGCGGGCCTAGGCTCGGCCTGCACCCATCACCAGCCCCAGGATGGGCAAAGCCTGGGGGCTGCAGACCCAGGGGGACCTGGGGACTGACAGTGGGACTGTGGGAAGGTGCGAAAGCCGCCTCCTCCCCCTCCCCAGCGGGTCGTGTTCCCAGCGCTGCCTGAGGTGCAGCTGTCTGGGTGGGTTTCTGCGGGGGCACCCCTGGATACCCCTGAGATATCAGGCTGAGGACCCCCTGGCTTGAAGTCTCCCAGGTCCCTGCCATCCCGAGCCCTTCCATCCAACTGGTGATGGGGGCGCGTTGGGTTACTGGTGTTATGCCCAGCAGGCCTGGAGTCTGGAGAGCCCAGTCCCCTCACCGGCCTTGCCAGGTTGAGCAGGGACCTGCTTGCTCTGCGTTGTTGGCCTGAACCCCATGGAAGTCTGAGGCCTCTGGCAGCAGCCCTGACAGTTTGAAGCAGTGGGATGGATTATGGGGTGACTTCCTTTTAGGTTTAAGACTGAGATTTTGTCCGCGACAGTTTGAAGGCCAGAATCGAATCGGACCATCTCTTTGAGAAGTGAGGTCTCTTCTAGGCCCCAGGTCCTTGGTCTCCATGTTTCTCCCAGTGTCCAGTGGTTTTGGGGAGCCCCCTGCAGGACCTGGGTTTCTCTCTGGCCCTCCTACTAGGAGAGGGGCTGGGGCGTCCTCCAGAAGTTGGCGTGTTACTTCTGCTCAGGTCTGCGGCTGAGCATGGTCCCAGGTGCTGGAGGACGCCTTTTGGAGTTTTGGGGATGCCTTTGCATATCGCAGCTGCCTTTTTTCCTGGGGTGTGGGTGTCTTCCCCACCCCACCTCAGAAGTTTGAGTTTCAGTTACTCAATTTCCAACTTGTGCATCCCCACCCCCCTTTGGGAAGCCCTTTTCTCTTGGTGAGCTGACAGCCGGGCAGCGCCTCCCTCCTCTGGGTTCTGGTTGAGTGCCTGGGGCCATGGGTTAGCCCCCAAGCCACTGTCCAGGCTTTGCATGTTTGAAGTTTCTCTTTTGTGCTGGTTGCCTCCTGGGGTGCTGGGCTCTGGTGGGTTGGGGGAAAAGAGGGGGGAGGGACGAAGACATTTTTTCCCAGCCTGCCCAGTCCAAGAGCAGGGTGCCAATCTTAGCTGCATTTGAATTTCCTCCACATAAATTGGATTTCAGCCCCCTCCCCACTTTACTGAGTCGTTGGCAGAGCCTATGAGAAAGTAATATGCAGACTTCCGAGTTATTTGTCAGGAATCCTCAGCCCAGGATTTCAGACTTTTTTTTTTTTTTTCAAGCTCATTTGAGGAAGCTGAAGCTGGAGTTGGGGGAGTGGGGGTTTTTGGGTGTGTAGTTAAGGAAGGTTACCAGGGAGAGGGCTCTGTGGGCATCAGCTCTGTGAGCATCCACAGAGCTGCTGTCCTGGTTCCTTTCAGAGGACAGGGCCTTAGGGTTTTGCTAGTTAATTCAGATCTGGCCCCAAAACTCAAGGGAGGAGCTGAGAAACAGGAGGAGCCCTTAGCCTGGATTCAAAATAGAAGCTTCTTAAACTTCCCGTCCTTTAAATCCTTAGGAATCCCCATTCACTGTGAGCCCCTGGGGATGAGAGCCGCTGAGGTCAGGGCTTTCCCGGGCGTAGGTTTTGTTCTCCTGAGGCAGCTGCCTGGGCCACCTCCTCCCGCAAAGCTGCCCTGGGGAACCATTTCCCCAGGGCAGCAGCTCAGTGGCCTGGGTACTCCTCGCTGTCCCTTCTGACCAGCCAGGGAGGACTTGTGCCTTCTTGGAAGGCTCCGATCGATCCCCTGAGGGTTTGGGGCACAGAAGGATTGATCTGAATCCCTCTCCCCTCCCTGTGCAGAGGTACAGCTTGGTCTGATGCTCTGGTTTGGGAATTGAGGAAGGAAAGCGATTAGTCCAAGGCCTTCCTCATTCTCCAGGGTTTCAGGGAAGGATTTAGGGTCTGCACCAGGGCGACTCTAGGCGGAAATCTACCCTGTGGACTTTTCTTTGGGCCTTCTTGTGCACAGTCCACCTGGAGAGCATCCCTCTCGCTTATCCAGTCCCAGCAAGTCCTGTGATGCCCCAGCAGAATTTCACTCTGAAGACAACAAAGCTGTGCCCAGTTCCCTAGTTATTTTGGCACCAAATACACAGTTTCCAGGGAAACTGGCTTCCCCCCTCCCCTTTTCCATGCAGGATATTACAATAAGATTTTCACTGATGTTCAGCTACAATGAAAGCCCTCCTCCCAGCCTCTTCTCTGGGGCTTCAGATCCTCCCAGGTGGCGTCCTTCAGTTTTGTAGTCCCCTTTCCTTTCTGAGTTCAGCCTGCGACGCATTTGTCTGTCTGTCCCCGCTTCTCTCCCAGCAATAGCTGGGCTCTTTCACTGCGAGCCTCTTTCTGAGTCTCCACCCCAACCCTGGCTGGCCTTGGGCTGTTCATTGACAAGTTTGGACCCGTGGGACACGCTGGGAATGGCTGAGTAGGCAGAGGAGCCAGCTGTGGGCCTGGCTTCTCGTGGGCTTTGCACCCCGTCATTTTCTGGAAGCCCTTGGCCATGGAGCCAGTGTCTGTGTCCTGCAGACCCCTGCCCCTTCCTGTCTTTCTTCGTCCAATAGATTGTGGTACATTTGCTCCTGAATAACTTAACCAACTTGTTTTAATTCAAATGTCCAAACAGATTTCAACTATGAGTACGTACAGAGAGAAGCTCTCAGGGTACCCCTGGTATTTCGAGAAAAGGACGGACTAGGAATTAAGTAAGTTGTTGGAACTCATTGTTTCTTCGTCTGTCTTCCTCCCTAACACATTTATATCTTGGGGATGGATTTCTTCTGTCTTCTGCTGGTCACTTTGGAGCACCTTTTCCCCGGATCTGGCAACAGCATCTCCCGGTTCCAGGCCTGACGAAGGAAAGGGATGTCTCTTGCAGGAATTTGGGCCATGAGAATGTAGGGTGCTTAGACAGTGCCCCCCCCATGTACCCTGGGTTCATGCAGCAGCAACCTCCTGCTGAGAAGTAGCTCTTCCTCTTCCCCTAAGCTCAAACCAGGAAACCGAGGAAGAACCTGAGCCACGGACCTGGATATGCAGGGTGGGAAATGGGTCCTTGTGGAGGGCGTTGGGGATCTGCAGGAGCTACAGGTGGGGAAGAGACCAGCGGGCTGGAAGAACAGGTTCCGCCCCCAGAGGAAGTGGGTGTAGGGGAGGGGTCACCATAGGCTGCCTCTCTCCAACATCTGCCAGATGAGGAGCTGGAATTTAACCTTCAGCGTCTTTGTTAATTTACAGTGTCCCCATAGTCATCGGTCACTGTAGGCAGGCAGCGTTAGCAAATCCCTGAACTGGAGGATGTGTGACTTTTCCCCCTAGGAGCTGAAAGCAGTCCCTCCCACTCTCCATACAGCTCCACGACGAGTGTTTTCTAGGGGCAGAACCAGGCGCAGAAAGGCTGCTCACCCTAAGGAGAACAGGCATTTGGCCCTGGACTCCACTCTTCCGTCTTAACCAGTAGAAGCCATGATGTCCTGTCCGCTGCTGAGATTCAGACCTTTTGCCTCTTGGGTGGGGGAAGGGGCTCCTGGTTCTGGGGTGACCCTTTCTTGAGGCGCCCCGGTCTCCCTCTGTGTGATCTCCTTTCGGCTTCCCAAATCCAGGGCAAGGGACCCTCTTGGAAAAATGGCTCCCCCCTGGCCCTGGGGAAAATTCTGGCTCTGTTGTTCCTGGCTCCTCACCAATGTCTGTGCTTCTCTCTCTCCAGGATGCCTGACCCTGATTTCACAGTTCGGGATGTCAAGCTCCTCGTGGGTAAGTAGCTGGCTCTGCATGACTCAGAGACGGTGAAGGAGGGAGCTGGAGACAGGAAGGAGCGAGGTCTTCACCATCCGCCCACTTAGACTTTTTACTGCCCTTGGAAAGGAGCGGGTGGGAGGAGACAGGAGCAGGTGTGAGCTGCAACCGTTCCTTCTGGAGGACAGGTCAGATTGCAGAGTCCTGGGAAGCCGTAGCAGTGCTCACGCACGGGGTTTATGAGGCCACCGACCTGGAGCGCAGCCGCCAGCCCTGGGCGTCAGCAACGCAATCTCAGATCTCTCCGCTGTGTTTGTTTGTAGGTTGCTGGGTAAACACTGGGTGCTCTGTGACCCCTAAAGCCTTTGTGGCTACTCCTCAGGGTTCTTGGACAGGCCGAGGGTGGGGCCTGCCCCTTAGTGGTGCCCCGCCAGGGCCCAGTGACGCCCTGAGCTCCTGCTGTGTGGCACATGACTTAGTGGTCTGGACTTCTGACCAGGTGGCAGGCGGCATTTCAGATTGTAGGGGAAGTTGTTCAATAAAGTCCATTCCTCCTGAAGAATGCCTCTCCGCTACAGGGCCGGCTGGGGACCCAGCAGACAGGGCCCTGCCCTCTTGGTTGGAACAACAGGTGATAAGGAGTAAGCTGTGGGGCTGGGGATTTTAGCTCAGTGGTTCTGCCACCTGCTTTACAAATGCAAGGTCCCGTCTCGGATACCTGGTACCACAAAAAAAACAAAACAAAACAAAACAAGAAACTTTGGGGCTGGAGATTTGGCTCAGTGGTTCCACTGCCTGCCTTGCAAGCACAAGGGCCGGAGTTTGATCCCCAGTACACACACACACACACACACACACACACACACAAAGAAGTAAGCTGTGAACCTTTTCCAGTGGTGACAGGCTGTGAAATAAAGCAGGGTAGTGGGCTGTTTTAGGTGGGTTGGTCAAGGAGGGTCCTCAGGGGCCGACAGAGGCTTTTGGATGGAAACCTTGAGAATCAGCTTTGAGAAAGAACATTTTTGCTGACAGCTGAGTGAGGGTAAAGGCCCATGAGGAGCCTGGGGTGCAGAGGACTGGAGAACAAGAAGGGGGAGTTTGTTAGGAGAGGTGGTGGCGGCCACAGGGCCACGCTAGTGGGGCGCTGTGGGCTCTGGGAGGGAATTTGGTTTTGACTCTTAGTGCAGTGGGGAGATTAAAAGTAGGGCAAGGGGTTACTGTGTGATTTGATTAGTTCTTTTTTAAAATTAGATAATTTGATTATTTCTTCACTGTGTGGGGGGGTGCTTTTTTATTTTTGAGTACTGAGTGTAATCCCTGAGCCTCTGGAATGCTGGGCAAGCGTACTACCACTGAGCTACATCTCCAGTAAAATTTTATTTTGAGTCGAGGGTTGTGGCGCACGCCTGTAATCCCAGCACTCGGGAAGCTGAGGCAGGAGGATCACTGTGAGTTCAAGACCTGCCTGGGCTACATAGTGAATTCCAGGTCAGTCTCAACTATATAGTGAGACCCTGTCTCAAAAAACAAAAACAAAAACAAAAAAATTTTATTTAGAGACTGGGTTTGACTGAGTTGCCCAGGCTGGTCTTGAATTTCTGATCCCCCTGCCTCAGCCTCCTGAGTAGCTGGGATGACACCTGTGTGACACCATGCCCAGACCTGTCTTTTAGATTGAGATAAAATTCTCGTACCACAAGATCCCCTTTGCACCGTCTTCAGACGTGCAATTCAGGGGTGTAGGTATGTTCACATTGTTGTTGTATAAGCACCACTGCTATTTACACATCATTTCTGTCATCTCAAAAGTTAACCTGCACACCCCTCAAGTCTCCTCTCCCTCTGTCCTTTTCTCCCCCTCAGACTTGCCTGTTCTGAGTGTTGTATCTGGGTGGAATCAAATAATATTTGACTCTGCATCTGTCTTTCACCCAGCCTATTTCAAGGTTCACCCATGTCAGAGTTTAGTACTTCTTTCTGGCAGGCGCCCTGCCTTTGGTCATCTTGTGGCAGAAATAGGCAAGGCGGGCGCAGAAGAGGCGAAACCTGCTATGGAACAACCTGCTAGGAGGGGTAACCAACCCAGTCCGAGAGAAACGCCTTAGGCTGCTCCTGAAGAGTCTCCTCCCACAAGCCAGGCTCCTCCCAGCAGGCCCCACCTCCCAACAGCCAGGTACAGGGATTGCAGCTGCAACTCTGCAACTTCCGAGGGCTGCTCTCAAGCCGAGTCATGGGGAACAGGGTTTAACTTCCTCCTCTAGCGCCTGCGCCATTTCCTTTCCTGTCAGCCAAGTGTGAGGGCTCTGGGCTCTCTTTTCTCTTGCCAGCACTTGTTATTGTCTGCTTTTGTTTGTTTCTTTTGCTACTGGGGTTCAGACTCGGGGACTTTGCACTTGCAAAGCAGGTGACAGAGCCACTGAGCTAAAACCCTGGCCCTATTGTCTGCTTTTTTATTCCTTTGGAGGTAGATTCCCTCCTCCTGCCAGTACCAGGAATCCTGGCTCTGGAGATAGGTTCTTTTTTTTTGGTTTGTTTTTTGAGACAGGGCCTCACTATGTAGTTGAGACTGACCTGGAACTCGCTATGTAGCCCAGGCTGGTCTCAAGCTCACTGCGATCCTCCTGCCTCAGCCTCCCATGTGCTGGCATTACAGGTGTGCACCACCATGCCTGACTGGAGACAGGTTCTAAATATGTGCCAGGCTGGCTTCAAACTCCTGGGCTGAGGACCCTCCTGTCTCCAGTCTCCCAAGTAGCTGGGACTTCCAGGTGCACAGTACCTGCAGCTTTCTGTCTGTGATATTTTTGTTTTCGGTACCGGGGTTTGAACTCAGGCCCTTGCGCTTGTAAGGCAGGCAGCAGAACCACGGAGTCAAATCCCCAGGCCCTTTGTCTGTGATTTTTGATGATGGCCATGCTGGTGGCCAGAAGTGGTGTGATGGAATCAGAAGTTTGTTTTTCTTATTGTGGTACTGGGGATTGAACTCGGGTCCTTGTGCTTGCGAGGCAGGCACCGGAACCACTGAGCTAAATCCCTGGCCTGGAATCAGAAGTTTGTAAGAGCCCACTCTGGATCTGTGTGGAGGATAAAGGTGTCCAGTGGGGTCTGGTGATCCGGGCAGAATAAGTGGCGTAAAGTCACGGGCACAGGCATGCAGTGGGGGGATGCTGGCCTGAAGGGGATGGTGCTTAGCACAGATTGTGGGATCTGTTAACGGGAGAAGAAATCTGCTTGCTTGAAAAGTAGGTTTTGGCAGGACGTGGTGGCACCTGCCTGTAATCAGAGCACTTGGGAGGCTGAGGCAGGAGGATCGCTGTGAGATTGAGACCAGCCTGGGCTACATAGTGAGTTGGCGTGATGTTATTTGTTAGGGTGTCCAGACACCAAAGTAGCGAGAGTCTATTTATGAGGAAGCATTAAAACTGGGTTCTCAGATCTGGGGTTCAGGCGACATTGCAAGCTTAGTACGTCCTTTCTTCCTTCTTTCTTTCCATTCTTTCCTCTCCTTTCTTTTCCTTTTTCTTTTTCTTGTACTGGGAATTGAATCCAAGGGAGTGCTGAGCTGTGTCTCCTGCTCTTTTTTAACTTTTATTCTCAGCAGGGTTTTGCTAAGACGCCCAGGCGGACCTTGAACTTGAGATCCTTCTGCTTCAGCCTCCAAGGTAGCTGGAATGACATGCGTGAGCTATCACACCTGGTGTGCAGCTTTCTTAAATTATGTTGCCTGAGCCGGGTGTGGTGGCCCACGCCTGTAATCCCAGCACTTGGGTGGCTGAGGCAGGAGGATCCCTGTGAGTTCAAAACCAGTCTGGGCGACATAGTGAGTTCCAGGTCAGTCTCAACTAAATAGTGAGACCCTGTCTCAAAAAACGAAAAACAAAAAAAATCAAAATTATGTTGCCTGCCTGGTCCTTCCGAGAAACTTTTTGAGCCCGTTATGGTTTTATTATGCTCTGCATAGGTCTGGGCTACCTGCTTTCCCCTTGCGCCTCATTTCTGTCTCGGTAGAAGCAGGAGAACCCGAGTAGATGTTCCTGCAGCCTGGCAGCACTGCAGCAGCTTTGGATGGCAGAGAAAGTGGGGACAGGAAGGCTTCCCCGCATCTTGTGCTCACCTCTGTGACGATCAGATGTCTGATAAATAATAAATGCTTCAGCAAGGCAGGTGAGCCCTGGCGGCCGGGCACTACGATGCCCACTTTCCTCTCTGGGTCTGCATAGGCTTCTGGAGGTGCTGACAGGCCCTGTGTGTCACACGTGACAGGAGCGACAGATGTAGCTCGGGCTGACCTAAGCCAAATGGAGTAAATCCAGGCACGTGGAGGCCTGGTGCTGCAGACTGACCCCGCTGCTCCTTCTGATCCCCTCTTTGCTTCCCCTTCTGGCCTTGTTTCCGGGCAGGAGTCCCCTCTCGTGGTGACAAGAGAGCCTGTGGCACAAGGCTCACATGGCACCGCCCAGGCTCCTCCTTCCCCGACCCTGGCCTTGCCTGCCTGTATGTGGTTGGTGCTGATCCGCTTGTCACAGCCCCAGTGCTGGAGCTGGTGGCTGGAGCAGTGACTCCAGGGCCGTGTGACAGGGGCAGGTTGTGTGACGTCAATCAGCTCTGAGCTGCGCACAGTGATGAGTACCTGTAATCCCAGCACTCAGGAGGCTCTGTCAGGAGGATCGCCACGAATTCAAGGCCAGCCTGGGCTACGTAGTGAGTTTAAGAATCAAAAACCCCCCAAAAATATCAGGGCGGGGACTCTGCTCAGGAGGGCAGTGCTGGCCAGCTCAGTCCAACTGGGTGGCTGTCCAAGAGGAGTGTGTGGCTAGGTGTTCAGCCTGCAACAGGGTCTGAGGTCATGCTTTTTACCGCAGCTGTCTGCTCCTAGCTCACTGCCTTTTAGTTACACGAGCAGGGTCTCACTGTGTTGTTCATGCTGGCTTCAAACCCCTGGCCTCGAGTGATTCTTCTGTTTTAGCCTCCCAAATAGCTGGGGCCGCAGGTGTGTGTTACCATGGTTGCCTACTTGC